GGATTCTAAAAATAAAAACAATGAAACTGCAGTAACTAATCTAAGAAAAAAACCCTGTACAAACATGAAGCTTTTATTGCCTTTGCAACTAAAGCAAGTATTTAGCATTCAGCCAGCATAAGAGAGACTTATGACAGAGAAATTAATACGCTACTGAAATACTCAGGACCACAAAAAAGTCTGTCAGATTCAGAGACCTTCTTGATTCAAAATGTGCAAATATCTTACTGAAGGTACTTTATGTTTTGATTCTTCTGAACAAACTATTTGTGAAAAAGTAATTTCCTACTTACAAAAAAAGAATAAATTTTAGTACTAGGTTTTAGGCAGCCAAGGCTCCTAAATTCTCATTATGGACTTGTGGATATTTCTTAGTGGAAGGCAAGTTTTTTGGGATAGAGAGAGAAAAAAATAAGATTTTCTAATGCACTTTTACTTAAATCCTTCAAGGCAGAAGGAATTGCACATTTTTAAACTGTATTTCAGAAAGAAGAGAAAACCTGTACTTTTAAAGGAGGGAAACCCTATGCCCTGAAAAATCTGCCAGTCAAAAAATCTGGTAGCTGTTCACTCTGAAATACAATCAATAATTTCACTCACAAAAGAGTGTCAATATCCATTGCAATTCACTTGTTGTCTTTAAACAGCTCTGCTGATACTTCCTAACAACATTCATACAATTAAGGTTTTCTTCAGGAATGTCTATAGGAGGAGAATTTTAGTATTCTATTAACAAAAGCTTATGACCAAAAATAGTTGCATAGCCTATAGCATTTGCATACTCAAGGAGGAGTAGAAACAGGATCCCACAGCGTATCCAAGCAACTGTACCTAAGAGGATATGGACCACAACTACAAATTATCCCTGAATATCTCAAAATGAAATTCCAGAGAGAGAATTTCATACCTTTGAAGTGACATATTCAACTCATAAAGCAAAAAAAACCAAGGGCTAAAATAATCAACTTGTTTTCTGCAAATGATCCCCTCTGTCCAGGTATTTTTCTCATATCTGCAAATCCCATGATAACACAGGTAAGGTGTTTTGTGAGTTAGAGAAATTGTTTGCTGCTCCCAAAAAATGAGTTTTTGTTCTTGAGATAGCAGTAAAGTCTTTTTAATATGTCACAAACTGGTATGTTCCATGCATGGAAATGATGAACCCACCCCTTGCATCTTCCGTCAGATCTTCTGCACAACAGGCATCACGATTACCAATATTTCCCTGGAATATCTCCTTAACTAACAAAATCAGTTTGCCATTTATTCTAGTTTATTCTCTGATCTCTTGGACAAAACCACATCCTTGATGCAGACCAAAATAACCCGTGCTCAAAGTCCAACACAAATTATTGGACTTTGTATGTATTTCAAAAATATTGTTTTTAATTCAAATTGTTGAAGTAACATTATTGTGATCACCTGACCTGGTCCATAATTTTTTTAACTGGCATATCATACATATTTTTTTAGTCCTCCATGACATCCAATAGTTATTCTAAAGTAACCTAAAAATTACCATAAAGAAAAACATAGCAATATATGGATTGATTGCTCATCAATCAAAGCAATTGTACTTATTCTAGAGAAACAATATTTGGCACCAAATCTGCCAGGCCATCTCCCATGGAGTGTGACTCAGGAAGCAGATCACTTTCTGGACAGTAAATATAGAAATTTAAGAGGGCTTCAGAAAAGTAAACGCAACTTTGGCCTGGTTTTTTACTTTTATTTACTCCACAATTATTACCATTCTTTGTTTTCCAATTCACTCATTTAGATTAGATTAAGGTTTCAAATCACACTCTAATCTTTCTGAAAAGATATCAGAAAAAAGTTCTTAAAAAAAAACAGACCTGTGCTCCTAACTCTAGGACAGACAACTGCAGATTGTGTTGACAACACTCACTGGAGTTACTAAAAACAAACTACTGCAAAATTGGAACAGTTCACAATCAGTTTTTCTATCCTCTACATTATCTTCTCTTCTTTGAAGCAATACAGTTTCTTATTCTGTATCTTTGTTATCCACCCTCTATATCTATTAAAATCAGAGCCTAATTATAGCAAAAGAAGAGTTATTCCTCACTGGAGTAAGTGAGAATACAGTCTTGTCAACAACACATTGCTCACACAATGGGAAGTGTACCACGACATTCAAAGCCACTGATTCTACTTTTGTTATCTAGATTAACAAAAAAACTGGTTTCTCATTAAAATGCACATTGGGTCATGAAAATATGCTGGGTTTAAAAGTTTATATATTCTTTAATAGAAATCACGATCCACTGCTGCTTGTGAGATCACAGCTGGTTACTGTGAGGATGCTGACAGTGCTGCAAATAGACAATTATTACTCCAGGTGAGGGGAAAAAACTGCATGTCTAGCTAAACTGTAATAAGGGGCAAAAATCCTATTATTTGTGAAAAAAGTTGTAGAAAAAAACAAACAAACTAGAAGAAAATAGCCTGCAGGTAATACATACAGACAGAATTGTTTAATCACACTGTTTTCTACAAGGCTCATGCAAACAAAAGAGTATCTGTGTTAAGTTAAAATATCTGGGGGTTTAGAGTTAGTGAAAAAGGGTCACACTCTCACTGGCATTGCAAAAACTCTTACATTTCAGTTTATCCTGAAGGGTCTCAAGATTTCATGGCAAGAAATCACTTTTCAAGTTCAAAGAAAAATTAATTAGATTTAAGGCCCTGTTTAACAAGGAGACCGAAATGTAACCATAGCTATAATTCAGACTAAAACAGGATTTCTGCAAAAGATACATCTGGATAGATTTACCATTTAATTATCTGGTTTATTTCGCTATCTGTATTCACTGGTTCATGTAAGTTTATGTAATCATAAATTACTAATTTCTATCTTGCTCTATTACAGCCAATGCTTGGGAAAAACTCAACAAAATTTTTCTTACCCTCTTTGAGTAGAACAGAGTTATAGATCACCTGCACTGACTCCTGATTATGCCATCCAAACTGATGATCCACCAATCTAGAGAGATTGTAAAAGTGGTATTTTAAATTCACTGTCACTTCTGAGCAGATGATTATCACGTTGAAGAACCTAAACTTCCCCAAGGGCAATGCACAGATCATCTGCATCCATGTAATGCATCATATTCCCTAGGGACATAGAGTGATTGATCGATTGATTAACTGTAGTTATTAAACCAGAATATCCACCCTCTGCCTTGTCACATCTCATTTACAACCTGCTTGTTGTCATAGGCAAAGCCATTTTATATAAGTCTTTGCTTCAAACACATATTTTTGTTGTGGATGGGAGAATAAAATGAAAAGATAAATCACAGTAGCAAAATCCTAAGCTAAACAAATGGAAAGAATTTTAGATATAATTAACTGTGTTCATAGTATCAGTCACAAATTATATGGATAATCATTGCTATTGAAATCAGTGACAGCAGAATAAAATCACCATTTTATGGGAATGTGATAACACAAAAGATCAAACTATATATAACTATATATAACTATGTGTTGCCGTTGTGTCCTTTATGGCCATTAAACAGATGTTATCTCCCCATCAGTGCAGTGTGACCAGCTGAGGTCTTAGTGCACTTCTTCCCTTTAATAAATGTTCTGAGGCTGAAAGGATCAGTACCAAAAACTATGAGAAGTAGCTAAAGAAGTGCCAAAAACTATATTGAGAAGCAGCTAAAGAACAAACTTGTCTCTGCTCTAATTTCACTTACCCTGTTCCCATTTTCCCAATTTCTTCTTTCTCCTTGGTTTCTTACATCCAACACAATTCACTTCCTCTTGTCCCAATTTTCATACAAATCCTTACTGATAAATGTCCTCTGTGAAGCTCAGAAACAGAAAACCTTCCCAGCACACATTGCTACCACCCATAAAGAGTTATTTGTGATAATTACTCAGATAAAGATTTCCCTTAGGTCTGTCATCATGGTGTTCTGTTGTATTTGTGTTCTTTCCTGTTCACATGTGATCTTGGCAGTCAAAATCACTTTTCTTTCAATAAAACCAGTGAGAAATATTTCCTTGAACTTTTAAGATTGTTCAAGGTTTGATTGCTTTTTCTGTTGAACACAGCAATATCAGAAAAAGGAGGACCCAAAACTCACTGATGACCGAGAAATTTTGAATATTGTCAAATCGCCTTTACATCAATCTCTGTTAAACTGGGCCTTCCTCCCACACGGTGTCTGAGTGACTTGAACTGCACCATGTTTTTGATAGACTCACAAGCTCTGTGAAATTGGAGGTGACATTTTTTTAATGTGTATTGTTTACTTTGAAATTCTGACAACAAATTCCAATGTCTCATCCACATATTCTAACTCTCCTAACAGACAAAAATAAACAAACTCATTTACACTGAATCCATAAGTTGAGAGTCCTTCCCCACCATGAGAGGCTGAGATTCTTTTTAGTGTCTATCAATTAAAATTACCTTTTCACACAATTAGTCAATGTGTGAATTACCACCAGCAGCCTAAAAAGTCTCAATTAGAAAGACAGCCCTCTTCTGCTAGCCATTAGTGGTAAGAGCATTGTGGGAAAATGAAATTATTTTAAAGACTAATAAGTATCAAACACAGTCCAGATATTTAGCATTAGTCAAAGCCTACATAAGTAAACCTGAAATCCAAATTCATCATTACTTTATGTTACATTTGCTGACATGGCAAAGCCCACTGCAACCACTCTTCCTTTCATTCAGAGAAAGGTGCCAAAATATTTAAGTATTAAAAATTTTCTCGGTGTTTATAAGCAGACACAGACACTTCTGCAGCAGAGAATAGTTTTACATTCTCTGAGAACCACCAGCCACTTAAAAACAAAGTGACAGTTTTCTTTTCCATCTGATAGCAGGAAAAAGTCCCATGCAGGCCACATTACAATGGTCTCATCATACAGGGATTTAAAATTAAAAATCATTGCATACAACCAGAACTACCCAAACTGCATCACTGCTCCAGGGCAGAACCAGTTTACCTCACCTTCACCAGCAGAGTGTAGTAGCCTGAAAGAAGAAGAAAATATTTTATCTTTGAGTTTTCTTTTCCATTCAGGTTCAGAAAATATACAAACAAAACCAAAAAAGATTAAATATTCCAGACTATTTTACACAAGCTCCAAGCAACATATAAGCAAAGAGTCTCTAGAGAGATTAGGATGCTTATACTAATTGTATTTAACACATTAACGTTTTATAAATAAGCCATGGGGCAACTGAATCATCTTGTAAAATTACAGTGCTTAGGATATTTTCCCAAAGGAGTAAACATTTGAGTTTGGCAAGTCCTTTACTTGCATTGCCTGGGGCACCAATAGGTTTATCCTCCACATGGCTGGAGCTGGGATTTCTCAATATCCTGTAAAGCTCATGATGCCCTTCAAGAAACAAAAATCAACCTGCTCTTGCAAAGTAAATTTGTCTAATGCAAAAAAATGAAGTGAAAAAGATGTTTTCTTCATTTGAAATTGTAGAGAGTAAAATTGATGGTTCACACTGTTTAAATTGGGGTAAAAATCCAGGCTATGAGGGAGGGGGTGGCTGAGTGAAAATCTTCATTAACCTACTGGCTTGATTCACCTTTGTGGACAGAAATCCTTTAGGCAATATAGAGCTCTATCAAGGATGAGAATATATTAACCAAGGGGAAAGATTAAAACAGAATTACGCGAACAAGATGGCAAATAGTTTCTATGGAAGTAGAAGAAAGAGGTCTCAGAAACAGTAATAAGACAAAACAAGTAACATCAAAAAATAAGCATAAAGCTTACCCCCAATTACAGCCTGTAAGTGTCATGGTGAGGAAAGAATGAGTTAAAGAAATCTGATGGATGAAGGATTTGGGACAGACCAAGATATGTCTTCATCACCAATCTGGGAACTTGTAATTAAGGGGAAAAGATCAAATAAGGTTTTATTTTTATCATATTCCATTTTGTACGGGAACAAAATGATTAACAGTTGGATAGAACAGTTATACAGCTTCTTCACTGACCAGATGAATACCCTGGAGCAAGTAATATCATCTGTGCACTTTTCAATAAACAAAATAGTTTATTGCAAGTCCCTTGGAGCAGAAGCTGTGCCGTGTGTGCCTGCACAGCTCCTCGGACAGCAGTCTCACACTGTAATGTGGTTCACCAGGAGCAGTAAAGACAGAAAATGTGGAAACTGACTGTGAGCCCAAGGCTTTCAAATCCCTCCAGCAGTGAGAGGTCACAATTTTAGCAGATCTCTTTTTTTTTTTCCCCCTCCCTACATAACTAAAGAGGTTACAGTTCAAGAGACACTAAAAGATCCTCAGACAGAACAGCTTGGGAGATATTGTTTGATTCCAAAATGTTCATAATACTACAGGCTGCTAAAAGGATATGGGATGTTTCATGTCAGCAGAAGTATGTCCCTCAGAAATCTGAGTTACTAGAAAAAGAAAAAAACAAGGAAGGAACTTCAGATGCCTTTCCCCAACATAAGTATTTTCATTCCCAGTATCAACAAATATCTCCAATATAAAGAATTTTTGGCCCAGTGCCTGGTTATTTCCCCATCTCTCTCCCATCCCTATTTCAGTAGGGTTGGTTCTTCACTTTTCAAGCCAAACCAGGGACAGTGACAAGAAGATAAGAAATGTTAGTACAGAATGTCACTTATTTCTAAGGGCTGGCTGTCAGCTCAAGAAATAAAGCAGAATAGTGAGAGATGCTTTGAAGAAAACAGAGCTTTTTATACTCCAGTGGGCCAAGAATTCACTCACTGTTTGATTGTCTCTTCAAGAAAGAATCCTCTAAAGATAAGGATCCTATTAGAAACAGTGGAAATTTAAAATAATTAAAAGCAAGGAGGCACCTCACTGTATTCATGAACATGTTAAAGAGTCCTTATGCAAAGTCCAATTGCTTGGTTTTACAAACCAAGAAAAGAAATACAGATATTCCATGTTTCTTTACCTTTTTTTATGATGGATTTGGTATGAAGTACCCAACAGAGTAGATGATCTATGAGAGGTAATAGCTTCCCTATGATTCTTCTTCTCAGAATACATTTTAGCTGGAAGAGAACAAAAATAGAAGCAGAGTCACAGATGGGGGATTGTATTTTTCAGAGTCATTGGTCCAAACTGATTTGGAGTAAATTATTTTGTTATGCTGAGGTTCTGGACAGAATTCAGATCTGAGCAAAACATGCCTTATCCCACATCCCCTATCTTAGTGATTGCTGGAAAAATATTCAGAGTGGAAATAGCATGACCTAATAAAATCCTTAATAGAATAAGGGAGAAAGACAATATCTAGTAGAACTGAAAAACATCTGTGAAAATTAAGGCAATGGCTGGGGAATGTTTAAATAGTGTTTGGCTGTAATGCACAGATAAGTAATCAGTGAAATAAACTAGAACTTAGTTACAAGTAATTACAGAAGTGTGTTACACTTAGCACAATCTTCTGAGCTTCAGCCACTGTTAACTGGTGAAGAAATTTGAGAAGTTGCCTTTACTTTGGGTTTTGGGTTTGGGTTTTTTGGGGTTTTTTGCCTCAGCAGGTACCTTTTCAGAATTACTTGGAAGACGGCTTTTCCACAAATTGCTGGACAGGTATGCCAGTGGTTCTCTGGGACTACAGAAGTGAAACACCTAACCCTGTCACATTCCGTTCAAATTTTGTGCAGAAGTTTCACATGCATTAATCTCTCTAAAACTGCCTTCAAACCACTACAGGTCCACATAGTGTGAAGCAATTGCATTTGTCTAATATAAATTAAAAATCACCTAAGAAAACATCATGAACAATGAGAAGAAAAATGGTATTCATGATATTCCTACTTGGAGAGTGTGCTCCTATGTGTGCTCCTCAGTGTCTGAAACTTGTCTTCTTTTGCTGTCAGATATTCAGAATACAATATAACACTACCGTGTAATAACAGACGGCAATTCTGTTTGATGAGCTTCTTTCACTCAAACTAAATTAATTGGATATCAAACCTTACAATGCAATGTTTTTCTCTTAGAAAGACTTATTGCTCTTATGGTTCTGTTTTTTCCTAACCACAGTTTGAAATAAGTTTTTTTATACATCTCAGGTCTGTAGACAATTCAATAGATGAAAATAGTTACAGTAGTTATAATTTTATTGTCTGCTGTAAAATACAACAGGTCTGCAACCAAAGAATTTTTTAAATTACATTTGTGAAATCTTAACTCTTTAAAAAATGGAATAAACACTATTACAAGTACTTAATTTGAATAAATGGCTCCAGAAGAACCCTGGGTTAGCAGAGAGTAGTGCAAGTAAATAATGTTCCCACATCTGGCTCAAAGTCTTCCTCCCTACTCACCTTTTCACTGCTGCTTGTCAAAGGCAACAGCAGTAAATAACTTTCCAAAACCAGCTTCCCTGCTTGCCTGAATTGCAGAAAACCTCCCAGTCCTTACAAGAAAAATGCAGTGAAACACATATCACTAACCCACGAGTTTCTGCAGAAGTTCAGGGAGAAAGGGAAAGAGCACGTGGAAAATGTTGGATGGGCTGATGCCCTTATTTATGAGGGTGACTCACACCTATGGAAAGCTCTATATACCCTCAACAAAATCATTCTCTTAAGATGAACATACAAAACAGAGTTTCAGATGGCTTCCTCAGTGCCTTGAAAAACACTTTCCCTACATTACTGCTCATTTAAGTGCAACCAGACGTGCTGATAACAAATACATTGTGTACATGTTTCAAGTAAATTACACAGCCAGACCATACATAACTTGACAATATATCTGGTTTAAGAAGCACCTGCTAAACTGCTGCTTTCCCAGAGCACTTGATTGTTACAGACATGCTCCCTGCTTTCTAAAATATTAATAAATGTCACAATTGATATTAAAATGGAGCATTACTTGTTTTCTATAGCTGTTCCTGTCAGCACTAGTGGTTTTAACATTATAGGAAAACTCTTTTATCACTGAGGTAAATGCCTTTCTAATTACATATGCCAGGATTTTCCCTATTAAAACACATAGTTTAGGATGATTTCTGTTTGCAGGGGTGCCTGAAAATAACCTCTCCCTTTTTTTCCTGTGGTGGAACGGGATGCTCTTTGCTAACAATTCGTGAGAGAGCAGCAATTACTACCTATAGGGCTTTTTGTTCTCCCAAACCCAAAATATCTCTCTTCTGATACATCACAGATAAACTACTGCTGGGAATCTATTTAAGTATAATTTAAAAAAGGAACTGTAAAAGGAAAAACTGGGTAAACATGGCAGATTGTGCATTTATGGTACTTATAAGATGATCTTATCCTCACTGCAATACAGCCATTACATGGATTATGCCTGAAGTGAGGCAACAAGGTCTGTTTCAGAACTGCATTATCTAAAGTACCATAAGGCATTTTCCTCCTTTTACAGCTGATGATGAAAATGGCTGAAATTAATTTTTCTCTACACATACACCCAGATAGTGTGTCATTTATCTGCATGTACTCTAATATTCCAAGAAGATGGCAACTGCAGTTCAATAGATGATGATGTTTTAATCTACATTAAATATTTTAATAAACCTACAGCCTCAAACAGATCTGTGGGACAGACAAATCAGCATTTAATCACACAGTAACCCAACAAGGCTTTCTGTTTTAAAACACACAGAATGAGAGGGCTAAGGTTTAACCTAGTATTTGTTATATATTAAAAGTATCACTAAAATACATGCTGGGCTATAATACACAACCTCCAACTGCAGGTACAGAAAAAATATTTAGTAAAAGGTAAGCATGGAAATAAATGAAACAAATTATTCTAAATATCTAGCATGTTGACATCACTGATTTTTGTCATATGTTTATATTTTTAAAATTTATTTAAATAACAGTTAAGAGTACAGATATTTCTACTGCTTAAATTAACTTTTTATGGCTATATATTAAAAATGTGAGATCAAATGTAAAAATTTTATGTATTACAGCACTTGGTGAACAGTCAGATTCACTGGTTCTGGGCATTTTATGTTCTATAATGTTGAGACAAGAATGGGGTTGAAACATAGGAGTAAGGAATAGATATTCACAGCACTTCAACCTGGTCTCCAAAACTGTAAGAAAGCCATTTCAGCACACAGCACACCATGCTTTGACATGTCTTAACTCCTCTGAAAACTCTCGAGTCATGAAAGCATTTTACAGTAGGTCTTAGATGAAGAGAGGGAGAAAGGAACAATTAGGTAAAACTGTTCAGCACATGGAATACATTCTGGGGCAGTGACATTCTGGCTTCTTCCTGAATTTACCTCTACAGTTCTCTCCTGGGTTACCTGACCCAGTCATGATCAGGCTTTAGAGATAGGAGAACAAACTGAATAGAGGTGCTAACTGAAGCAGCATAGCCATAAAGAGATTA